TCCACTTCTGAGCCTATATATCTCACTTCATTTGAAAGATATCAAAAAGTGGTTAACTAGTAAAATGTTTATCAGGATATCAGCAACATTTTACTAGTTAGCCACTTTTTGATATCTTTCACAGAAAATGAGATATATAGGCTCAAAGTGGACGATCCGGGTGTCGTTCTATTAGAGGTTTTACGGTAATTGTTCCCTCCAAAATAAAATTAAAAACTCGCAGCGTTTATCGAAAGGTGCGGCTATCACGTATGATAATTTTGAAGATATGAATCCACTGCCGCATTCCCAGGAAGCGGCTCTAGCGGTTAGCAATAGGAGAATAAGTGGGATCAACCTCATCGGTTCAAAGAGGTTTCGAATAGTGATAAGGATTTGATTGAATCTTGGGTTAAAAATAAGGGTGAGCAAGATTTGACCGCAGGAAATTTATAACATTGGTTTGATTGAACCTGGATGTGCACTTTGGAAACAGAGAAACGTTTTATCTGGGAATGAGGGAGGGATGGAAAATTCGACTATTGAGAAAACGCATAACTGATGTACCCTAAATGCTTGTAACCCAATACAACAACACCCTTCAAACCCTATTTTCTCAATTCCTCCGAGAGAAATCAAAAATATGTTCACTGATAAAACCATTGTAATAATATCACCAACTTTTACCAGTTGACAAATTGTTGATATTTTCACAGGAACCCAGATAACTGAGGTCAAAGGAAAAGTGTATGGTGGTACATATTGTAGTAGAGCATTAATAAAATAAAAAACATTTTTTATCTTCTTCAGTTACAATCTGATTGAAAAAAACCTGAAAGTTTCAATTATTGGAGAAATTTGAACTTCAAACTTCGCAATTAAAAAAAGACCGGTCTAGGACTTAACAACAACTTATATGAAATTTCAAAAAAAAAAAATTTTTCGGAACGATTTTATACACATTGGAACTATTCAGGTGCTATTTTAGAATTTTTTCTGGTCCATGGAAATTTTTTAAAGGTTTATTTTCATTTTTATCTTTAATAAATCATAGAAAACAGAAAAATGAACCGAGAAAATTAGAAGCACCAAAAAAATGAAGGACTCAAATTTTCTGGAAACAAAAATAACCAACTAGAGCCGGAAATTGCCAATTTTTCATTATTCCTTGATAAGAGATTTTTTTCATTTTTTTTCAATTGCCTCTTTTTCCGAATCAAGACCATTCCTTCCAAAGTTTACCCAAACTCATATAATCAAATTTGTCAACCCGTAGTGCTTCTCTTTTTTATATGATAATGCTCGTTTTTCTGCTTCTTCTTTGCATTTCCTTTTATTTCTTATCAACGACGTCGCACATTCCATCAACCCCATTCTCCATTATTCTTCCTTTTTTCAACTTTTAAAAGTCGTTGATTCAAAAATCACATCATACATATTTCACATTGCTTTTTCCAACATTTTGTTGCATGCTAAACAATAGATGAGCAAATTGTTCGAAAAAAATCAATGCGCTGGTTGGTTTTTTTTTCATGTTGTGTGTGTGTGTGTGTGTGTGTCAAGTCGGAGCCCGAGCCCAGAGGCATATCTTCTTTCAACGGCTCTTTCTCCGCACCCAACACACTATTTATCACTGCGTTTCTCTTATATTTTTTTGCACTTTTTTCATTTTTTTTTCTCTATTTTTTTTCTTTCTCAAAATATCTAATCACATGATTATCCGATTTGAGGAAAATGAAAAAAGGAACCAGTGGATGGAGGGATTTTATACCAATCACAAAATGGCTACCTAGTTATGATGTGAAACAGAATCTTATTAATGATATAATCGGAGGAGTCACAGTTGGAATTCTTCATGTACCACAAGGCAAGGAGACGTTTAAGAATTAGAAATTAAAAAAAAATTTAAAAATTCAGGTATGGCATATGCTTCATTAGTCGGGTTGAAACCAGTGTACGGATTATATACTTCTTTATTCCCATCATTAATCTACATGTTTTTTGGGACCAGCAGGCATGTTTCTTTGGGTACGTAATTAAAAAAATGGCAAATTCCAAAAAAAATTTTCCAGGTGTGTTTGCTGTGGTCAGTCTCATGTCGGGATCTTGTAATTTACGAGTGACTCAAGAACTTGTGGCACAGAACGGGACAAATTTGACAAAAAGCGAAATCGAAGGAATTTCTGTGGATGTCGTGAAATCGTTGGGTTTGGCGATAGAATGATACAGGTCGGAAAAAAAGAAATCTGAAATTTTTCGATACAACTTTTTTAAATTTCAGATCATCATGGGTTTGATAAAAGCCAATTACTTAATATCTTACCTGTCCGATCAGATAATCCTCGGATTCACCACTGGAGCCGCAGTACATGTCCTAACTGCTCAACTCAATAAAATTCTTGGGGTGGCGCTGCCACGTCATACAGGAATGGGAAAATTGTTTTTTGTGAGTTAAATTTTCAAAGCACAGTCGAGAAATATTGCTTGGTTTTCCGTCTTTTTCTGATTCGGTGGAAATCAAATTTTGAAAAAAAAACCCTCATATTTTTTCTAATAGGAGCCCACCCCATACGTGAACTTTGAATTCAATTACCTTGGTTTCTGAGAGAGAGAGAGAGAGAGAGAGAGAGATATCAGAAACTGATCGCTGAAAAAATATTGGTGATATTATGACAAACAATTTATCAGTTGAAAACTTGTTCATATCTTCGACAGGTAGTGAGAAAAATTGGCTCAAATTAAAAGGTAGGGAACATTTCTATTACAGTTTCCGGCACCTTTAATAGAACTGTACCCCTACGTTCCCCTACGGTACCTCTGATAGAACCGTACTCCTTTCCTATTTTTAATAGAAATCGAAAAATTGAGGTCATAGTGCAGTTCTCATCTTTTCCACAAAATTCTCTCACTTTTTCAAAAAAAATCCAATTTTTAGATCTACCGTGATCTCTTGAACTCAATCCTGAACGATAAAGTAAATAAAGTCACGTTGGCTGCCTCAATTGCGGCAATTGTGATTCTCTACATTGCGAAATATCATTTGACCCCTACTCTTTGTGCTAAAACTCGAATTCCAATTCCTTATGATCTCTTTTTGGTAGGAGTAGAGAAGAAATTTTGAAATCATCATGAATCAAATTTCAGATTGTTGTGGGAACCGCTGTCTCAAGTTATTTTGCAATTAATTCAAATTATCATGTGAAAATAGTTGGACATATTCCTACTGGGTAATTTTGGTCTAGTCTTTTATTATATAATCATCAAAGCTTTCAGTTTTCCATCACCTGCACTCCCAGATGTCTCCATATTCGGGAAAATTGTCGGCGACGCGTTGGCTATTGCAATCGTTTCTGTAGTGGTTACTGTATCAATGGGAAAAGTGATAGCCAAAAAACACGACTACGTGATAAATGTTAGACAGGAATTCTTTGCCCTTGGAATTGTTGCATCGTTCTGCTCAATGTTTCCCTGCTGGCCGGCATCCACAGCATTGGCGCGAACGCTTATCAATGATAACGCAGGAACAAAAACTCAGGTTTGGAAATCGTTCGGGGTTTATTTTTGCTTCGTTCGGTATAAGAAAACCGAGGGGGCTCAAGATAATCGGACAGATATTTGGGGACAGGCACAGAGAAATAGGAAAATTAGTTATCCATAAACAAAAAGTGGTTGAATTGGAGAGTTGTTGACGTAGAAGACGTCTCGATCGTTGGCGTGATACGGAGTGTCGTTGTTCTGGTCCGCCATTGCCGAGTTGTAGACGCGACGGAAGTTGAAGCAGCAGCACATGGACTTCCACCAAGAGGAGAACATTCCGAAAGTTTCTTCTTCCTAGAAAAATAAGGCATTAAAAGGCGAAATTCTTGGGTATTCGAAATTCTTGGTATTCTTGGTTCACTGTAGCTACTACTTCTGGCTCTTCATGTCTTATTAAAGAAATGAAAAAGAATTATAGGAAGCTGGGTATACTGTAGTTAAAACTTCATGAATCTTACCTGAGATAGAGAACGAGTTTCAGTGAATTCCTTTTTCGGAAAACTGTACTTCATGATCGAAAAATGGATTTTGATTTGTTTTGAGAGGGAAATGCAAATGAGGCGGCACCTGGAATGGAAATTCATCAATAAACGGTTTTCAAAAATATCGTGGAATGAAAAAAAAAGATGAAAATCTCCAATGATCAAACGGTGATCAACAATAGGGGGTATAAGAAGGACACAAATCCATTAGACCCCCCCCCCCTCAATCTTCCAGCAACAAGGAACTAGGAACGCGTGCTGAAATTTTTCTTTTGTTTTTTTCATTTCTCCCGCCCGAGGGCCATCCTTCTGTACACTTTGATCTGATGGTTGGATTTAATGGAGCAAATTGTTTTGGGAAAATCGAAAATGCTGAAGATTATTGAACTTTTGAAACTATTGGTAGGGAACTGAGGTACAAAGTCCAAATCAAATAAACAAGAAATTTTGAGAAAAAAAAGTGAAAATGAGAAAAAACTCAGAAAATCATAATGTTCGGTCAGCTCTTCGATATCTAATTAAAAATGAAAAATTCGAAATTTTCAGGTTTAGAATTTTCCTTCAAATTATAATCTTTTGAGAAACAGTTTGCAATATTTCAAAAACTTCACCTCGTTGTAAAATTTTGATATTTCAAACCTTTTTCAAATACTTTGGAATATATAGTATCGGTCAATAAGATGTTTTTTTCAGTTTATTTGGGGATATTTCAATCACTTTCAAGGGTCCGGAGCTCGGCTGTCAAGTTTCCGATCACTTTGCAAAGGGTTAAAGTGTGTAAAATCGGCCTAGAATGCAAACTTCGCATTCACATAATTTTTCGAAAATTTCCGGTTCTTTAGCTGACTGTAGATTTTTGAAAAACACCCCTTTTCAGCCAATTTTTGTACTGAAACATGAAAAAACAGGTGCCTGTAAAAAATGGGCGAATAGCTGACAAAATAGGAATTTTCAAAAAATTCTGTGAATTCAAAAATTTCAATCAAAGCCTGTTTTGCGCTTTTCAAATCTTTTAGACTCCTGATAATGATTAAAATGAGCGAAAATTCACCGAAAATTGTGTTTTCCTATATCCATTGGCCGGAACTATACTTAATTGAGCAAGATTACAGACATTAAAATGGGTAGAAAAGCTTAAAACCATAGGCCAGAAATATCAATGCTTGGTTCATTAAAATTCTTTAATATTTCAAAAGTATTTCAAACCAAATTATTGGAAAAAAGAGAGAGAGAGAAACGTCATGTTTTTAGGGATGAAAGAGACAATGGGACAACAAAAAAAGAGATGATAATTTATTGTACAAAAGGATAAGTAGAATTTTTTATAATTTCAGATCTCGGCGATATTTGCTGCTATGGTGTTAACATTGGTTCTATTTTTCATAGGACCTCTGCTGGAAAACCTTCCAACGGTGAGTGAAAATTTTGAGATTAAAAATAAATAGGGAATATTCAGTGTTTCCTCTCGTGCATTGTTATTGTCGCACTTCGAGGCATGTTTCTACATTTGACAAACTTTTGGACACTATGGAGAATTTCAAAATATGATTGGGTAAATGATTTAGGTTATAATAATATGTTTTTGAATTAAAATTTTCAGGCAATTTTCTCAATCACCTTCTTATCTACAGTATGCTTGGATGTGGTTCCTGGACTGTTCATTGGAGCAGTAGCAGCTTTGTTGTTTTCAGTTTTAAGAATTCAGAGGTGCGAACTATTTTTGAAAATAAGAAGAAATAGGACTTGCGTAAAAATTAAGAAAGAAGGAATTTACCAGTTCAATGAACCAGATGGTTGGCAAAATGAAAAATCTAAATAATATGAAAAACAGAAGCTATTTGTTCCACTCAAACTCCATTTTCTGCTTTTTGAGTTGCTGATAGAGATTCCATTCCTGTCTGAACTTTTCATTCTCTCGCTCCATTTCCTCTCGTCTTCTGAGCTCTTCCTGTTTTCTCAACTCATATTCCCTTTCGCGCTGACGCAAAAGTTCTAGGTAGTAATTAAGTGGAGTCTGAGTTGTGGTGGTGGTGCGAGGAGTTGTCGTGTAAGGAGCCGACCATGGATCTTGGTTTGTGAACTTTTGCCAGATTGCGTAAGTTTGAACGGATTTGCAGAAAATAGGCTCGACCAAATTGCGGACAAACCTAAAATTACGGGTTTGTTAGTAAATTGAAGAATAAAAATTAGGGTTTTCGGGATTTTAAAAAAATACTTTGTGATGCATAACTTTTATAGTAATTTGATAAGAGCTATACGTTTTTTTTGAGCTCCATTATCTCGGTTCTTTGAAAAAAACACCGAAGCATTTTTAACTGATATATTATTTGTCAAAATATTACTAATATTTTATCAGTTGACAGCTTTCTGTTATCTCTCATAGAATAACTAAACGCAAATCGCGCGCAACGTTTGACCTCAACTATAGAAAATACAGCATTTTTCAAATTTATCAAAACTAAATGAATTGCTTAAAATCATACTTGTAATCCGGGCGTTTTCCGGTCCTTCGCGGGTCCTGCAAAGACACTTTATGGCCTGTAACTTTGTTCATAGACAAGATACAGTTTTCCAAATAGTATTATTTTGTAGTACTCGTCGAGTTTTATCATAAATAATTTAGTCAGTTAGAAAATATTGATTCTGAAAAAAGATATGGCCGGGCCCGCGAAGGCCCGGCAAAGGCCCGGATTACAAGTATGATTAAAAGTGTCAAGTTTTTGAACCTGATCATTTTTCCAATAATTTTTTAATTTGGTTCGTCAGAAGCTGTATCACTTATTTAGATGAATACAGTACTGGCCAAAAAGGTATTCGCAAACGGTTTTTTGAGAGTAACTTTGCTGAAACTTAAGGGATCGATCTGAAAATTTTACTGTGCATGTCGTACACGGTGACGACAAATTGCGTACAAGGAAATTGCATCATTTTCAGAAATTTTTTGTTTTTTTCAATTTTTTCAATTTTTTCGTTTTTTCACTTTTTTCATATTTTTATATTTTTGGATATTATGGTTTCTAAGAATGTTGGTTTTGGCTCCTATGTATTTAAAACTGTTTACAGACATGGCCAGACCCCTCGGAAAAAAAAACATCTCTCAGGACATCCGTAAAGCCATCGTCATCGGCTTCAGAAGTGGATGTTCCAAGGACCTCTTGGCGCAGCAGTTCAATGTTACTAAACGTGCCATCGAGAAGATCTTAAAGCAGTTTCGGGATGAGGTAATATTCAAAAATAGTATAGTTATGGAAAAAATGTTTAGGGAGCCTTGGTGGAGCGAAAATCGCCTGGAAGACCGCGTATCACGTCGAAGAACATGGATCGGAACATCGTCCGAGTTTCAAGAGAGGATCCCCAGAGGAGTTCTACGGACATTCAGATGGTCGTGAAGACTCCAAATGAAGTCACACCATCCCTGAGAACCGTCAGAAGACGTCTTCAAGATGCTGGACTCCATGGACGACGGCCAGCTAAGAAACCATCGATCAGCAAGAAGAACAGAATCGCCCGCGTAGCATGGGCCAGAGCTCATCTCCACTGGGGACGTCAGGATTGGGCTAATCACGTGTTCAGCGACGAATCCAAGTTCAATCTGTTCGGTACTGACGGTATCAAGTGGATTCGCCGTCCGGTTGGATGTCGGTTCGATCCCAGCTACCAGCTCCAAACCGTCAAGCATGGAGGTGGATCGGTGATGGTCTGGGGCTGCTTCTCTGGGACTTCAATCGGCCTGAGAAGAATTACAAGCATCATGGATCGCTTTGTGTATGAAGACATCTTGGAGAACACAATGAGACCCTGGGCAAGGTCTACTGTGGGCCGGGCGTTCGTTTTCCAACAGGATAACGACCCGAAGCACACCTCGAAGCACATCAAGGAGTGGTTCCGACGCCGCCACGTGGATCTTCTGGACTGGCCAAGTCAATCTCCGGACTTGAATCCGATCGAACACCTCTGGGAGCATGTCGAGAGACAGCTTAGAGGGGTTCGTGCCTCGAATGCCAACCAGAAGTTCGACCAACTCCAAGATGTCTGGCAGGCCATCCCGATGTCTGTCATCGACACCCTTCTCGACTCGATGCCAAGAAGATGTCAAACGGTAATCGACGCCAAAGGCTTCCCAACGAAGTACTAAAGCTATTTTATTCATTTTCTATTATTATTTTTCGTTTACCGGTCTATCCAGATCTCAGAAGTCAAAGTTCCATTTACCGGTTTTTTGCAATTTTCATGAATTTTTCGATTTTTTTTCAATTTTTTGAAATTTTGACTATTCTTGTTGTTGAATCAGTTTCTTTTACCGTTTTAAACTTTGTCTTAAAATATCAGATTGATCGGGAAGTTTCAGAAAAGTTATGCTCGAAAAACTATTTGCGAATACCTTTTTGGCCAGTACTGTATGTACGAAGAGATTGTCAACTACAAAATTAAAGCTTTATATGTGTTTACAGCACCTGGGCATTTTCAGTCTCATTCAACATCATTTACTATATTTTTAGCCGTTCTATCTTGAAGATAAATTTTAGTCGGTACGGTATTTACACCTTTAAAATTTTCATAGAAGAAAAACCTACCAATTAGTGTTCTGATCCAGACATTCGCAGAATACTCGATCTGCATCTTCTCTGGATAGTGTGTGGTGATAGTAGTGCTCATCATGAGCGTGACAGCACTGATTGACACCTGATATATAGAATATGGGGATTTTGAGGTCCAAAATTTGGATTTTGTTTAAAAAAGTTTTTAAAAATCTTATAGAAAGCTCCTCAAACCGTCAACTTTGAGCCCAAGTATCTCATTTGCTGTAAAATATATTTAAAAATGTAGTCAACTGGTAAAACCGTCATATTATCAAAAATATGTTGACTGTTGACTATTTTTTTGGTACGTTAAAGCATACTTTCAAAATCAGGGCCCGGGCTTGTGACTCCTCGGCCCGGCGGGTTTTCCAAATTTGAAAATTTTTTCGAAATTTCAGACATTTTTTCAAATTTTTTTGTGAAAAAAAAACAATTTTTTATGGACACTTTTATCTTGAAAAGTTTTTTACTCGGCAGAAAAATCGTCCATTTTTTCAGTTGACCCCGAAAAATTTTTTTGAAAAGACAGGAAAAATTAGTTACTGAAAACCCGAGCCGGGCCCTGGAAAATTCTGAAAAAAGCCCTGCCCGTTGCAAGTATGCTTTTAAGAAGAACCCAGATGAATTGGGGAAAGTTTAAATTTTGCTATAGTTTTTATGGTAATTTTTGCAAAAAAACTGCTTACCATGATAATCAAATGGTTTTGCCAGCCATTCTGATATCGTCTCTGTCAGTTTGTTGATCCCACAGTGCCATCTCGCTCCATCATAATATCCGGAACAGTAAACTGGCGATACAATCGTAATAACTAGGAAACTCAAGACTCTCATCCTGAAAAATAATGAAAAATATACTACTCCGTCGTGTGTCTAGCTGTCAATTTATTACAAAAAACGAGGAAGAAAAGTATCACAAGCTAGAAAGAGAAAAAGTACAACTGCTGCTTCAGTTTCAAATCACAAGAGAAAAGTGATGAGACAGAAATCAGAGCGGGCGCCATCGAAGCCAGACGATCAAGTCTTTTTCTTCTAGTTCTGAATATTTTCCGTTCGCCTCTCGCCTTTCCTCCCCTCCCAGTGGCGATTTCAATGCAAATAGAGTCTCACTAGTTCTATTGACCCTCCTGATTTTCTCACCATCACAGAAATTTTCGATGATGAACACTTTTTGCCCCCCCCCCGGAGGTTTGGGAGGAGGGAGGTGCTGATGCCTCCAAACATGTTTTTGAATAGGATCTCAGATTAAAATCGACCGTGAAATCAAGAGTTGTGATGAAAGTGAGGTGAAAAAACGGGAAGAAAAATAGGTATTGACTCATTTTCTATGAAAGGATGGAGAAAAAAAACATTGGTAGGGTTTTTTCGGGTGCAATATAAAGAACATCTGTTGTACTTTTGAAAGAGCTATTGTTGCATTTCTTGAGATCAAAAGGACGGAGGGCACATACTGGGTGGTCACAAAAAATTGGGAGTTCTTTGCAAATAGGAAGGAAATACTATACAACTGGGAAGGACACGGTAACGAATCAAAAAATCAGGAATAAGAAAAAATAACAAAAAATTCTGAATTTGCATTGAAAATTTGTAATAAAAGAGTTGCCACAATAAAAATCCTGACGACCAAATTTATCTTGAATCCACTGAATTATCATAAAGTGCTGTAATAGAAGCCCACCCTATACGGGCACTTCGAGCTCAATTATCTCGGCTCTCTCGAAAGATAACTCCAAAGTGCAATTGATAAATTATCACTAAAATTTTTTCAGTTGACCGATTTTTCATATCTTTCATAAGAACTGTGGCAAGTGAGCTTAAAGGGCCAGGGTTGGGTGGGCTTTCACATACTAGAGCGCATACGGTAGTCCACTTTTGTTGGAAATAATTTTTCTGGAGGAAAAACCGCCAAAAAATGTAGGCCGGCAATTTTCGGACCAATATGATCTTTTTATCTACATTGCATTAGAACCTATCATTCTGGATAAAGACATTGTTCGGAATAAAAATGAACAAAATGTTAAATATAGTATTTTTTCGAATGAATCTCAAACTGTTTCAAACGAAATTATTTCAATTCCTATGAAATATAGGAGAATTTTTAAGCTGTTAAATTTTTTACCGTAATATCACCAAAATTTTTTTCTGTTAACATCTTTTTGATACCTTTTGCGAGAATCGAGATAATCGAGAAATTTTGATGGGCTTCCATTAGAGGAAATACTGTATTTAACATGGTAAGAGATTGGTGAAAATTAGATTTATCTGAAACCAAATAAATTCATTTATTAAATTGACAAGTTGCGATCCTATAGGTGCTATGTTCATTGCATGCGTACGTCTTCCTGATGAGGTCAGTGATAAGACCAAAATTATATAAGATAAGAAATATACCATATTTCCTTTAATATCAGCCTACTCAAATCGTCAATTTTGAGCTCAATTATCTCGATTATTGTGAAAGATATCAAAACATCGTGAGCTGATAAAGTATTGGTGATATTTCTATCAGTGATTTATCGGTTGAAGAAATTATCACATTTTTCAGAGGGGATAATTGTGCTCAAAACTATGTGTGGGCTTCTGTTAAAGAAAATACGGAATATTGCATTTGTACCTGTTTTTTGTTTGAAACGCTGATAAAACAAGAATTAGATAAAATGAAAATCAGGCAAATTCTTTTAAAAAAGTGCTGAACTTCGATAGAGTCTACCCAAAAGTGCGAAAACTGTGGGAAAGCCCTAGAAAGAGCAAGGAATGAAAATCAGAAAAAAACCGAACACACACATCAACTATTTTCTTTGAGTCGGCAATGGGATCGCCTTCAGTTTTCAATCACTGCAGCGTGGGTGCCACTATACAATAGCCGTCTATTGGCATTTGCTCGTAAATCCGGAACAAGATACTCGAATGTTTCTCGCGTGTGTGTTGTGCACTCCCCTCTCTTCTACAGGTTCTGACACGCACTTGTGTCTGGGCGACTCAACGCGGGGGGCTCTCCATGCGTTTGCAAAGAAACACTGACCATAGAGACTTCCCGTTCAATGAACTTTTATTTGTAGACAATTTCAAATCATGACCGTTCATTTTTTTTTTGCAGATCAAGTCCGACGCTTCTGGAGGACGAGGAAGAGTCTGGGTATGGAGAGACAATTTTGGAAGTTTCAAATGAATATTTTTTGCAGACAAAAAACGTGCGTGGTCTTCTATGCGTCGTCATTATTCTATTTCAGTTGCGAACGATTCGAAAAGAAAATTCAGAAAATTGTAGACCGAAAGTTTGGAACAGAATCCAAGCCAGCAGAGGGAGAAGACATTCCAATGATTCCAGAAAAAATTCAAGAGGTTTGTGAATGCACTGAAAGCTGATAGTTAGTTCTGAAGTTTCAGAAAACAGTAATCTTCGACATGAAAGGTGTATCGAATATCGATTTATCTGGAGCCAATACTCTCCTTAAAATTGGTCAGGAACTAAACTCCAAAAACGTTACCTTCAAAGTTCGCAACCCCAATGGTAATCTAACATCATTGTTCCTTATTCATAGATAAAAATTGCAGACAGCGTATCATCCTTCTTACACGGAGTCCCAAACACGGATCATCTTTTTGAGTGATAAAACCAAAAAAGCAGACACTTCCTTCCTATGGATTTTGGCATGATCTCGACTTATTTTTCGAATGATCATGCACTTCGTCTTATCATATCTTGTACTTTTTTATTCAGCTATATGAAGTTTTGTTATTTGAAAGTTTTATTGTTCCCATTAAAAAAATTGGAGATCTGAATAGTCGCAAATCTTTTGAACATTTCTAATTTTAAAGTTCTCATTTGAAGTTTTAAGGTTCTTTTTCAGTTTTAAAGTTCCCAATTTCAACATTAAAATTAGCATTCTAATTATTATTCTAACACAATAAATATAAGCATTGAAAAAAATGATAACCACAGATACCTGGAACTATTTTAATTTACAGAATTTATTTTTCGTTTTTTACTGATTTTTCGGTTATTATTCCACAAACAAGTCAAAAAGTTAAAATTTGCAATAGGGAAAAATGTCCAAAAACACACGAAAATCAAGAGAATAAATTCAGAAAAAAACATTTTAGGTTGCGGTAGTTGTCGCTATTTTTATGTTACGGCAGTTTTTGTTATTCTTAAGTTACGATAAATGTTGTTATTGCTAGGTGACGGTAGTTGACTTTATTTTAGGGTTACAGTATTTGACGTTACCTTCAGGTTACGGTAATTTGCGTTATTTTTAGGTTACGGTACTTTTCATTTGTTTTGAGTTACGGTAGTTGACGTTATTTTTAGGTTACGTTACTTGTCATCAGTTTTGAGTTACGGTATTTTTCGTTTTTAGGTTACGGTACTTTTCATTTGTTTTGAGTTACGGTAGTTGTCGGTATTTTTAGGTTATGACTGTTTTGTTATTTTTTGGTTACGGTAATTGTCATTATTTTCAGATTACGGTAGTTGTTTATTGTTTTTAGGTTACTGTAATTGACGCTATTTTTAGATTACGGTGGTTGTCGTCATTTTTAGGTTACTGTAATTGTCTTTATTTACAGGCTACAGTAGTTTTTGTTATTTCTCGGTTTCGGCAGTTGTCTTTTTTAGGTTACGGTATTTGTCCTTATTCTAGGTTATGGTAATTATCGTTATTTTCAGGTTCCTGCAAATTGTGTTATTTTTAAGTTATGGTAGTTGTCGTAATTTTTAGGTTACGGTAGTTGTCTCTGTACCTTCGGCTACGGCCACCGGTGTTAAAAAAGTAACATTTTCGACCGATATGCATTTACCTGTAATCAAATCAGAAAATTCCCATTTTCTGATCATAATCTCTCTAAAAACGTGCCTCCGACACATTTCTGATAAAGATTCAAATCTCTTGCTCCAATAGTTGAAATGTCTGCTCTCCTATTTTTTGTTCATGTAAAAATTAGCATATTTAGAATATCCCAAGGCACTTGGTTAATTGTTTATCAGAATGTTCTCCTGTTTTTCATATCTTTCTTATCATTAATCGGAATTTCTCAAGGGATGCATTTTTGAAAAAAGAAAAGAGCGTCGAAAAAATAAACCTAAAAATCGTGAGCCTAATTTTCCAAAGACTATCTAATTCAACGAATTGAAAATTGTTCATTATATTTTGATATTGCTTTTATTGACTCAACTACAATTTTGAATTCAAAAAGCCATTCCCATTTCAATCAGTTCATAAATTACGTCACTTTTTTCTTGAATAGACGTTGAAGATTGAGTAAACAATGTGCCAAAAGGGCAGATGATGGGCCCGGCTTGTCTTAATTCTCCCTCTTTTTGAAACATCTGTTTCTCTTCTTCTTAGTTTTTCTTACCTACATTTAGAGTTCCAAGAAAGTACATGTCCGATGAGGTCACTAATCCTATTGGTTATTTTGTGCTCTTCTGGGAGATTATAGATAGGCATCATTCTGAATTATCACTTAAACTCATAAAATTTGAATATCAGTGCATATAGATCTCTAGATTTTGAAAAAAACAATTTTATCTTAAAGTGATCAGGTCGATTCAGTGTAGTGGTACCATGGTACCAGCTTCCACGATGCAAATCGAAGACAGAAAATGACTTTCACTTTCTACACTTTCTAGAACAAATCAAAACATCCTGTCTAGAGTCCTGTCTGGCCTTGACAAATTATTTTTTGTCTCGCTTGTCGCTTATTGCGTTTTTGCATGTCTGGAATGGGACCATTCTCGTGATCCAGTATTTCGTAAGACTATCCATACGATTACTCACTTATGCGAAATTTCAGTTGCGTCGCGTGTCGCGTCGCGGTCGCCTGTTCTCTGCGAGGTTTTGAACAATAACACAAAAACATGTGTCATTTTTACACCGCGAGTTTCTCTGACATTGAGTGGTGCTAATTAGGCTGATTATGTATACTGAAAGAGTGTCGATGTAGTATTATCCACGGAAATTATTTCCTACTTTTTGAGGAAAACTACTCGAATGTTTTTCCTCGTTTTTTGATTATCAATTTACAGTTTGAACGGTAAAAAGATTTTTTTTTTTGAAAATTTTCAAACTTTAGAAGCGAAAAAATGGGTTTATATTTTCAATAGATGTACCAACCAATCTTTGATAACTCGATTCAAAAACATTAAAATCTCAAAAAAGCTTTCCGGTTTATTTTTAATTTGCGCAAAAGTTGAAAATTGTAGGGGCTATGTGAATTTATATCAATTGCTACTCATTTTGATGTAGTCAAAGTTTTTAGTCGGAGTCCCGGGAGCATTTTTTTCCTGAAAGATCTTGCGCTGTTTCTCATTCTGCACAGTATCGAGAATCTAGTGTTAAAATTCTAATAACCGTTTGAAGGACCATATTTTGCAGTTTTTTACTCCATATTTCCAGGGATACTGTAATGGTTAGGTTTACAGTGAAATTCTTCAAACCTTTCGAATTTTTTTGAATAACCCATTACAGTATCCGTCCACGCCTTTTCAAAAATTTCCCCGTAAACACCCAATTACAGTATCTCTCCGTACCTTTTCGAAAATGTCTTCTGTAAACAGAACCATTACAGTATCCTATAAAGAAAAAACCCATTACAGCATCCCATGACGTATTTTTCTTATTTTTTCTCTGCGTTTCTCACCCTGACCCGGCTCTCGTCAGATTCATTTCATTTTTATGACCATTCATTTCTACACACTCTCGAGTTCACACATTTCGTTTTATCTGCCGAGTATTATTCTGGTTAAAAAACAGAGGTGTGGAAGAGAAATGCCGGTGGCCCATGCTGTGGCCCAAGGTCCCACGACGACAACTACCGTAACCTAGAAATATTTTTACTTTCCGGCTTTAATCATTGAATATTATCTAAAAAAAGAGAAAAAACTAGAAAATAAATCTTGAAAATGAACACGTTTTCAGTGTAGATATCGTTGTGGGACCTTCGGCCACGGTCACTGGCGTTTTTCTTCCACAGTTCCGATTTTTTGTACCAGAATACTCTTTCCATTTTCTACTTTTTCAGAGTTTTTTACATACTTGTAAAATTCCGAGCCGGGCCTGAGGAAATTTTCAAGGCCCGGGCCCGGCCCGGAAGGCCCGGTGTCAAAAATTCTGTATTTTTGAGCCAAATTTTGAGCTCTCAATATAATTTTTTTCATTTTTTTTTCGTATTTCGGATTGTTTGTCTGTCTGATCAAAAAAGATCGAAAAACTCGAAAAAAATTTTTTTGGTCGAAAAAATCACATAAGGGTCCCCCCTTATCTGTTTTTTGAAAATTTCGAAACTAGTGAAATGACGGGCCCCGCCGGGCCGG